AAGACTCTATTTTCATGGGGAAATATTCGAAACCAAAAGTTTCTGAACAGAATCAAGAATCAAGAACAAAGAGGTGTTGCAGATATACATGCACAATGTTAAGATGTTTCCGATTAGGTAAGTACATGGTTATTAATGCTTTTTTTTTCTTTCAGCGAGGCGGAACCGTAAGTTACATTGACATACCAGAGTTGTTATAGACTGAAAACGCTGACACACAACAGCATCAAAATGTGCTTAAACTCTCCTCCGGGAATCTTGTAAGTGAAAGAAAACTCGGGGTATAAAGCATTGCCGACATACCGTCTTCCCACTCCCAAAATTCTAAGTCATCCCGTTCAACTTCAAACAAATCAAATTCCGTAATAACTTTAGTCTTGTTGGAGTAGTAGTACGTGCGCAAGTCATGCCACGCCATCAAAATGTCACCATCGTTGAAAACTTTTATAGGATAAATAGTCCAATATTCATCATGGTCAACAAAAAAGTCGGGGATTTTCGTTAGAACAAATTCCTGTATCCAGGATTTCTCGTCTCCATAGTCCTTCATCGACCAGATAACTATTTCATCCGCAGGTGTACTATCGCATATGCACAGGCAATCCTTCAAAACCACTAGGCTCACGAGAACTTTAGGGCTTACGGTAAGAGGAGGAGGAGCAAAAATGCTGAAAGTTTCCGTCTCAAGATCAAAGCAAGAAATGCAATCGGAGTCGACCAGAGCATCTTCGACGAGCCAGTGAAGATTCCCATTAAGAGAGACCCCATTCGACTGGGTATCGTACAGAACACGGGCATCGACGGCGACGCTTCTCCATGTTCGAGTTCCAAGAGTGTAAACCATACAAAAATACCTGCTACTTCCCAAAATTTCATCTGTTTGATGATACTTATGTTCGCATACATAACTATGGAAAATCTTAACCACCTTATACTGGGCACTCATTTTGCTCACCCCAAATCCATAAGCTACGCTTGCAGAAAAGTAACAGTAGAAAATGCCATCTTGTGGAAGCGCAATATACTCACGGGTGATTGGATTGCATACGAAAAGAGAGTCAAAATGAAGTTCAGTGTTATTTTTTCTTTTTAGGAATAAAAACAAACCATTGGATGAACCCTTGAGCTCCGACCGCTCGAATCCCGTGGAATCGAATTTGATGATTTGATTGTAGTGAAGATGGTGGCTTTCGAGACCGAGTTCATCATCGAATTCAAAAATTTTGTAATTTTTGAAGTCCGAATCGTAGCCGATGAACAGTGCCGGGACGGATTTGGAGAGATGGAAATCGGTGAATTCGCGGGTGTGTAGCAGATTCCGCCATGACTTGCAGACGCATTTGCAGGCTCCGATTGATCGAATTGGAAGCCGTGATACGATGTCGATGATGATCTCCGGCTGTAGATTTCTGAAGAATTGTAGCTTCAATTTGGGATTTCTTCCACGATTCCTCATTTCTGCTGATGGAAGAACAAACCCTAACTCTAAACAAAAAGAATTGGGAGTGTGGAAGTTCCTAATGATAGATATTAGTGTGTGTATTTATAATTTAACTAAATTTTAGGGCAAATTGCACTTTGCCCCCTTAAGAAAGTTGTTTTGCACTTTTCCCCTCAAAATACAAAAAACGAGACTATCCTCCTTCGAAATATACAACTCGGTGCACTTTGCCCCCAAATGTGTATTCCCAGTCTCATTCTCACTTAATTAAGGGTGTATATGTCATTTTACTTTTTTCGCTTGAAAATCCTTCTTTAAGAGTTACTTAGTGTTTTCAAATTAACGAAATTATCTTCCCAAATTGATGAAATTCTCATCCAAATTAGACGAAATTTTCTTCCTTAATTCGACAAAATTTGTTCTTTGATCTGCATAATCATTGTAATATAGAAGAAAAAATGATAAATGACATTTAAATCTTTAAAAGACGAAATTACCCTTCCAGTTTACTCAAATCCGACAAGAAGTAAATTGGAAATACACATTTGGGACAAAGTGCACCGAGTCGTATATTTCGAAGGAGGACAGTCTCGTTTTTGTATTTTGAGGGTGGAAAGTGCAAAAAAAACATTCTTTTAGGGAGTGAAATGCAATTTGCCCTAAATTTTATATAAAGTATTAATATTCAAATTTTATACCGTTAGCCTATCATCTGGTTCTTTCATGTCTAAGTGCCCAAACCCCTCAATTCCAGAAAACTTGAACCTTGCAATACGTTTCTTGTCGCAGCAATTCCGCCACCACCGCAACAATTTCAGAGGCAAGAATTCGCCACCATCGGAGCTGTTCAAACTGCGGCAAATTCACTCTCTCCTCGTCGTCTCTGGATTTTCCGGCCACTCTCCATTCCTCACAAGACTACTCCTTCACTGTGTGTCGCTTCCTTCCTTCCCTTCCGCATACGCTTCCACCATTTTCAGCCGAATCCACCGCCCCAATGTCTTCACCTACAACGCCCTCATGGGGGGTTTCGGTTTCGACCTGGAAAAAGCCGTTTTCTTCTACGTTAAGATGCGCCAAGATGGCGTCTTTCCCAACATGCACACATTTCCTTTACTGCTCAAGTCCAAAACCCAGATACCCTTTCAGATATTTGCGCAGTCGATCAAGTTCGGGTTCGGTTCCGATCGATTCGTGCTAAACTCTTTGTTATCGGTTTGTGCCAATTGTGGGCTGATCGAGTATGCTCGCCAAGTGTTCGATGAAATGACGCACAGAGACGTCGTTGCCTATACTGCGTTAATGGACGGGTATGTGAGAAATGCTCGTGCTTCGCAAGCTCTGGACCTCTTTCTAGAGATGAAAGTAAATGGGGTGGGGGCGGATGGGGGTGCTGTTGTCACCGCTCTTTGTGCTGCCGGAACCTTGGGCTGCGTTTGGCTTGGAAAGTGGATACACGGGTTCTTTATCGAAACGGGTAGGGTCGTCCGAGATGTTTATGTAGGCAGTGCTCTCATTGACATGTATTCCAAATGCAATTGTAATGAAGATGCACTCAAAGTTTTTCGAAATATGCCTTACAGAAATGTCGTTTCTTGGAGTGCTTTACTATCTGGTTACGTGCAGCGCGATAGGTTTAAGGAAGCACTGCTTCTTTTCCAAGAAATGCTAGTTGAAAAAATCGAGCCAAGTGAAGCTACACTAGTAAGTGTCCTCACATCATGCGCTCACCTCGGCTCGTTGGATCAAGGCATGTGGGTCGATAAGTACATATACACACATAAAATAGAATTAAATTCACCACTCGGGACAGCTTTAATCGACATGTACGCCAAGTGTGGTTGCATTAAAGAAGCATTCCGCGTCTTCGAAAGTATGAATTCTGTGGATGTCTACCCATGGACAGCCTTAATCTTCGGACTAGCAATAAACGGACATGCTATAACCTGTCTAAATCTTTTCTCTCAGATGTTAAGCAGTGGAGTCAAACCGAATGGAGTCACTTTTATAGCCGTTTTAAGCGCTTGTTCACACGGGGGTCTTGTAAACGAGGGGAAGGAAATATTCAAACTAATGGGAAGTGTTTACGGTGTGATACCGACCGTTGATCACTACGGTTGTATGGTGGATATTCTTGGTAGGGCGGGGAGGTTGAGAGAGGCGGCGGAGTTGATCGGGGAGATGCCGATGGAAGCTAGTGGCGGCGTGTGGGGTGCTTTGTTCGGTGGTTGTGTGAATTATGGGGATTTGGAGATGGGGGAGATTGTGGGGAAGAGGTTGATCGAGATGGAGCCGAGGAGGAGTGGGGGGTATGTGGTTTTGGCGAACTTGTACTCGAGATTTGGGGATTGGGAAAAGGCGGCTAATGTGAGGAAGAAGATGAGTGGAGTTGGAGTGGAGAAGGTGAAGGGGTGTAGCTGGATTGAATCGAACGGTGTGATACGTGAGTTTGTTGCGTTCGAGAAATCGGATGCGGCTTCGGAAAGTGTGTATGGAGTCTTGGATAGTCTTACTGCTCAGATGCAGCAGAAGCTTCTTTTTGTTGTGGAAGAAGACAATTTCTTGGAAGTTTAGAGCTATTGATATATGAGTACTTTGGATGGGTATTTTGGTCAAGCATAAAAGATACTTCTTTGAAAGTTTGCTTACATAAAAGAAGGTGATGATGGGCGTTTGACTTTGACCACATGATTGTAAATTGTTTAGGCCCTTCTTTGATTAGTAAGATAACTCATGATTAATTAAATGATTAGGTTTTGGTTGATGTTTGGTTAATGCTATAACTTTGTGGATTTTCTTTAACATAATTCAAATCTAATTTTATTCTTTGAATAAAAATCTAGTAAAAATAAATGCAGCTATGAAAAGGTTTGAAGCATAAACAGATCTGTACTATCATCAGTGTCTCTTCTACATTCTTACTATAAAATAAGACAAAGTAGCCCTTTAACTTACTGGTCAATCCTAGGGGTGTAAACGAGCCGAGCTCGAGCCGAGCTCGCCTCTTTTGGCTGGCTCGAGCTCGAGCTCGAGTATATTTTGTCGAGCTCGAGCTCGCGAGCTCCTCTTTTTTTGGCTCGAGCTCGAGCTCGTGTCAGTTGTGTCGAGCTCGAGCTCGAGCCCATTGTCTTTTTTTTTTTTTTTTTTTAAATATTTTTTTAATTATTATTTATTATTAAAAATTATTTAAAAAAATAAAAAATAAAAACTAAATTGTAATTATATATATTTTTAATATTTGTATTTATTTCTATAATATTTTACATTATTATACATTATTTAAATAAAAATAACATATAAAAAATAAAAAAAAAATAATAAATCCGGCTCGCGAGCCGGCTCGCGAGCTCATGAACAACTGAAAACCGGCTCGAGCTCGGCTCATCAGAAAGCTCGAGCTCGCGAGCTCGAGCTCGAGCTCGAAAATCTCGAGTTCGAGTTCGAGCTTTTTACGAGCCGGCTCTTCGAGCTCACGAGTCGGCTCGGCTCGTTTACACCCCTAGTCAATCCTCAAATCTTTAACATCATTAGTTTATGTAGCATAGTTATCTTTTTACCGCTACATTTATATGATATAAATATGCATTTTTTCGATTTTATTACTTGACCAATTTTTTTAACTTAACTACTTAGTACTCTAGTGGATCGACAAGTGGTTCTAGAAAAAATGTGTTATGTAGTGTTTGGGCATAAGAGACGAAGTGCGTGAATTTTGTGAATTGAAGCATTTTTAATCGAGAATTTTTGGGATCAAATAAAATTTATAAAATTTCAAAAAGTTCAAAAGAATTTAAAAATATTATCTAGAATAAAACAAATTCATCATTCTTTTGGGCGAAATTTTTAGTCTAAGAACAAAATTGCCAAATTTTATAAATTTAAAAGGAAATTATAAATAATTTTCAGAATATAATTCTTTTTCAGAAAATTTAGGTAAATTGTTAGGTTTGTGGAAACAAAACTAGAGAAGAAATATGAAGAAGAAGAAGAAAATGGGAATAAATTAAGTACAAGAGAAAAAGAAAGAGACACCCATTTTATGGGGCAACTAGAGGGATATTTTCAGGGCAAAGGGGGTCCATCATCTAGTGCAATAATCGAATCAACTTTGAAAATGTACGAATTCTCTAACGTGACTTGACGCCAGAGGTGGATACGCGACACTAGTGATACTAGAAAGTTAAAAACTAGAACTGTTGAAGGGCAAAACTGGTATTTTGACACACAGCAAAAAATAACAATGGGCCAGGCCCATCTGCTCCAACAACGAATCACTCGAAGGAAATTTTCTGTTATCTGAATTTCTTATCTTCATTTCAAGTCAATACACAACCGAAACAAAAACAGCTCAGAACATCCTCCGCCACCAAACGCCGCCGCCGTCGCCGTCGATACAAAGTTGTTTCCTGAATGGCGGCTGCTGCAATTACTGGTGTAGGATTGTCGTGTCCCTCAAAATTGAGTCAAACTGCCGCCGGTCGCCGCCAAAAGCGGTGCGCTTCAGTCGTCAGGATGACTTTGCTCGATGAGAAGAAGAAAACGTACACACTCACGAAATCGGAAGAGGCTTTTGCCGCCGCCAAGGTATTGTGATGATTATTTCATTAACAGATCGACAAAAAATATATTTCGTGTTCTCCAACCTTACGCAGTAAACCCTTGGAAGTGCATTTCGTTGCTCTTTTGCTTGTTTTCGATTCAGTAGATTTTTTTATTGAAATTGCCTCTGGCAGTTAAGTTGTGTAAGTATAATTGTTGAAATTTGAAGATGTTTCATTCCGATTACTGCGAGGGTGGGAATTGCAGCTCACATGGTGCAATATTGGGATAGGGGTTTTGATCAGTGGATGTGTTGTATTTTCTTATTGTAGTTTGTTATTGGATGATATAGGTGGTGAGATCATAGTTGAAAATGCAGGAAATGCAGATGTTTTGTAGGTGAACAACAGGCTAATTTGTGATTTCAGTGCATTTAATTATAAATAATTGCGATTTGGCTAATTCGTCTCACTCAATTTAGGTGCGATTTGTAGCATCGTCTTGTTGATTAGCTTTTTGTTATTTCTTCTGAAAGATGTCTTCTACTTGTCTATTGAGTTATTTGTTATATCTCTCTTATTGCCTTTGAAATTAATGTGATAGAAAAGTTGTACATGTACTGAAATCAAAATGTGTTCTGCTTTTGTTTATAGGAACTGATGCCCGGAGGTGTAAATTCTCCGGTACGTGCTTTCAAGTCAGTTGGTGGTCAGCCTATTTTGGTTGATTCTGTGAAGGGCTCTCACATGTGGGATATTGATGGTAACGAGTACATTGACTATGTCGGATCATGGGGGCCAGCCATTATTGGCCATGCAGATGATGAGGTGTCCTTTACTTGCCTTTCGTATTCCTTTTCAAGAACCTTTTGAAAGCATCCGTTATAAAAAAAACATTTCTAAACAAAAATCAGTCTTGTCAAATCTGCAGGTACTTGCTGCCTTGTCAGAAACAATGAAGAAAGGAACCAGCTTCGGTGCACCTTGCCTCCTCGAAAACGTCTTGGCAGAAATGGTGATCTCCGCTGTTCCAAGTATCGAAATGGTTCGTTTCGTAAACTCAGGCACAGAAGCATGCATGGGTGTACTTCGATTAGCTCGTGCATACACAGGGCGCGAAAAAATCATCAAATTCGAAGGATGCTACCATGGCCATGCAGATGCATTCTTAGTCAAGGCGGGAAGTGGTGTTGCCACCCTCGGGCTCCCAGATTCCCCCGGAGTTCCCAAATCAGGCACCTCCAACACGCTGACATCACCTTACAACGATATCGCAACAGTCGAAAGCCTCTTCGAAGCGAACAAGGGAGAAATTTGTGCAGTCATACTCGAAGCAGTTGTAGGAAACGCTG